TCTAAATCTTGCAAAAGATTTAATTCGAGGGCACGCTTCCGCCAATTATTTGCGAAACATGAAATTTCATAAGTGGACCTTAAAGATGCTGATAGGGTAAGAACATTGGAAAAATTAGAACATCAAATGAATTGAATGCTTTTGGACCAGATACGAATAGAACAACGTGCCGCTTCTGAGTGGATGAAAATTGATCTTTTAAGTACAGACTCTCCACAAGTGTCAAAGTGTCCTTGCTACAAATATGGGTAAAATTTTCCAGTTGAAAAAGAAACAGGTTATTTTATAGTTTTAAAAATCCAATTGGCGCGAAGAACGTGTGTTTTTATACCTACTTTCAGGGGCGGATTTAGGGGGCGGGGGGTTGGGCTGACGCCCCTCTCCCCTCAGGGATTCGAATTCGACCCATGCCATGCCGACCCAAAGGGTCCCCCTCTTTGTACTATTTTGACCCTTTTCAGCTGACTGACCATAAATTTTTTCTAAAAGCGCCTTCGGAGCCAAAGTATTCTAATTTTGAGGGGGGAGCGCACGCCGAAAAAACGCGATTTTTTGGCCAAAATTTTCCAAAACTGCCTAAAAACGCTTTTTTCGGCATTTTTTTCAAAAAATTGCCTGTTGCCTGCGGCGCAGAAAATTTGGTCAAAATGAGGTCTCAGAGTGATTCAGAAGAGCTCAGAAAACCACTTTAGTTCATGTGAAAAAAAAGGTCGACAACATTTTCGGAAAATTTTTCGAAAATCCCTCCCTCGAGAAAATCCTAGATCCACCCCTGCCTACTTTATACAATAAGTTAAATCTATTTTTTTCTAAGACCTATTTTTTTGGTACAGTTGAACACGAGGTCAGGGCAAAAAATCAAACTTTGCATAAAAACCTATCGAGTATAAAAGAATAGTTCTTTGCAAACAGTGACAAAAAAATAAAACTTTTAGAAATCTCGCAAAAAACTCGTATCTCGTAGAAAAAATAGAATAAGTATAGGAAAATGTGAGCCAAAAATGATTGCCTAGGCTGAGAGGCTATTGTACAAATAAAAATTGGCCCGGCACAAGCTGGTGGTGAAAAATTGGTTAATCACGACAATTTAGTGAGATATGATAAATGTTCACAAATGAAGTCGAGACTTTGTGTTTTATGTTTTGACCATTCTAGGCCAAATAAATGTCCCAGTTGGACAAAAAATCAATAGTCGACAAAAGGCTTTATAGTCATGCTCAATCAATAAATTGAGTCAATAGATTAAAGATTGACAATTGAACAGAGACAAAACGAATCAGTTTCAAGCATATTGTCAATCTCTGATAGATTCACTTGACGCGAAAAACTTTAGTTGACGAATCTTTTAAAATCTCTAAGAAAAGTTCGTGTAGGTTTTTGTTTCACTTGATTATTTATTTACACTTGATTTTCAATGAAAGCCGTCAATTTCAACAAGCAAGGTGAAGAGCGGCAAAATTCTAGGAAACTTTTTTATAGTTCTGTATCTATATTTTTTTTTATAAACAACGCCCGGATATTTGGAGACAGTCACACAAAAACTTAATCTTTTCTACAATAAAAAAAATCGAATCAAGACGTTTCGATAGAAAATCCTAATTTCTTACATTCTATGGGTTTATACATAGTTAATTGCATAAAGATTGAGTTCAAACTCCATTTAAATCTTTTTCCGTTTTGAAAAAGTGGTAATTGTAATTTTTCAAATTGGTTTAGAGCAAATTAACCGTCTTTTTAACCTAGAATCAAGTCTTTCTTAACCTAGAGTCGATCATAGCATTTTTCTGTGTTTTTTCTTTGTTTTTTCAAGCTGGTTTTTAAATAGATGTCGTTCTGCTTATTTCATTTAAATATCATCTTAATCATGTTAGGATTCGATCTGGGAATCTAGATCTAAACAGTCTCTTTTCCTTACTTTCAAAATTGGCGGACGAATATCATCGTAGAAATAACGGTGTGTGTCATTACTCGAAGTTTTTAAGTTGTACTCAATTTTTCGTGAAAAAAAAATAAAAATCACCCGGCTGCAAACTTCCACCCTATTTTCAATGGTCGGAACAAAAGTTTCTGATCAAAAGAACCACTGGCGACAGAAAATGGAATTTCAGAACTGCGAAAAGTTTAACAATAGAAGAAAATGTTTCAGATCGCCCTTAAAGAATTTACTCTCAGGACAGTTACTAAACTTTACAGTCAAACTCAAAATCGAAACTTAATATCGAGTCTCTCGAATCACCAGGTCAAACACAAAGTCAAGACATAAAATCGAACACAATTTTGAAATATGAAACCTATAGAAATTTTTCAAACCGTTTTTTCATAAATGGTTCAATTAAATTTTAAGCAAAAATCATGGAAAAGTTCTACCTCTTTGCAATAATTGAATCGAAAAAAGCGGAAAAACGATTGTTCAAAGGACAGCTTGAAAAATATTTTACTATCATTTTTTTTTAAATCTATCTGTCTAAAAAAATCTAGTTCATTGACATAATAGCCGTATTAGAACCCGAATCTGGGACAAAAAAAAAAACAAACAATTATTAAGCAAATTGGTTTTTGAGGTTTTTTAAAAAAATACAAAAAAAATGCTCCAAGCCCATAGGCTTTATTGGACCAGCAAATAAAATTCTACAATTCGACACAGCAGTTTTTTTTGAAAAGACGGATTTTCTAAAGAAAATTTCACGGTTTTCGAAATCTCACTATAGAAAGAGTGCTTCAAAGCTGTAAATAAAAATTATTTCCATCAAGCTAATATGAGTAAATTAGATTTTCAAAACTGTAAAATTAGTAGCTTAACGTTGCTTATGTAAATTCCATATTTGTAGCTATACTCTTTAGTTGATCCGATATCCTCGTCACATAGTACTAACTTTGTGTTCCGCAGAAACCCACGAAGGCCCGCATAAGACTTGGAAACAAGTTTTCTTGGCGTCTGCTGCCCAACATTGTCACAGATAGGGGCTGCTGAAAGCATTGTTAAACAGACATTACTGAGTGAACTGTTTGAATTAAGGTTTTTTAAATTGTGTTATCTGATATTTTTCATTTGTTAGTTATTTCAGATGTGAAAATTTCTTCAATTCCGATGCATTTTTTTCGCAATTTAGGTCCTTCTTAATTTTTAAAAGTGTATAAAATGTTAGAAAATACTGTTTTTGTCGCTATTTGGAAGTTTCTACCACCAATGGATCAGAGTAAAATTGCTTAAAAAAGAAAAATGTTAACCTAATTTTTGGCTCGAATTGCATGGTTTTTTGAGAATGGTTTATCTCAGATTTAAATGCAGATCTGAAATTTAGTTTTCATGGTTATTTCGAACTCTAAAAGTCTACTAACGGTAGAGGATAGTAATAGTTTGGGATCATCCATTTGATTATAACTCACTTTGGTCCAATACTTTTAAGTAGAAAATCAATTGAAATCCTTTAAAATCAATAAAAATTTCCGATTAATTGCCAAAACCCGCTACATATAAATCCTTTTCCGCGTTACTCACACCCTACTCATTTTTTTCAAATTTGCCTAATTTTGTGAATTAAGGTACCATAAACGTCTAACAGCAATTTCGTATTTTTAACAACCAAATTGAACGCCTCATGCTTGCCCAGTCCCCCCACACTTATCCCCACTTGCTTTCCACAACGCCTAACAACCAAAAGCCCCCAAACCCCAACTTAACCTCATTCCCTCAGACACCTTTTTAACAGTCACCCTCCCACTAAGCTACCCAACCTATTACGCTCCCCGCCAAAAGTAACAACCCTGTAAGTTTAGGGGTTTAATTACGGGTAGAGGGCGTACTTTCGTGTCTTGTGGTAAATATGGGGTTGTTTGGTGGGGTGAGGGTTTGTAGTAAAGGATCAAAGAGAAAATGGTCGGAGTAAGGTTGTGGTTAGTAATTCAAAAACAATGAAAAAAATGGCAAACAAGACAAGCAGACAGCGAATCTTTTCTCCTAAGTTAAAGGTAAGAATCAGTTAACAATTACGTTCAAATTTGAAATGAACATGGAAACATTTTGAAAACTACAGGTTATTTCTTCGCAAAAATGAAATTTAGAGTTTTTACATAACAGTGCGTCGGTTATTTATACTTTTGAATTGATTTTATTAGAATTATAAGGAAATCGACCATTAAAATTTATTATAATTGATTATAATTTATGGAACCTCATTGCGCGTGAGCACGAGCAAAAAAGCTGATACATTCTGATTATTGAAGATTTTTGTAAAAATGGCATGCTGAAGTTTTGATTTAAGTTGATTTAAAAAGTTAGGTAATGTGGTTTTTGGTACAACTGATTGACGTTGTGATCCAATATTTCGATTAATTTTCTCTAGCTTACTTTGTTTGAAGAAACCAACATTTTGTAGCTTTCTTTCGTTGCATCTTAATTGTGTTTCATTAGATGCTTCTTAAAAATGATTGTATGAGAAAATTATACAAGTAAGCAAAGCTTCAAACGTTTGTTGTCCAAGACAAATTTTCAGCTTCATTATGAGGTCAAACTGTGTATTTTGTGGGGTGTGACGGAGGCCATCAACAGGTTAAAACAATTTATCACTCAAAATTGCTCCAAAAACCGCTGAAGTTGCGGAGTCAGCAAAAAAACAATGGCGGAGTACGAAAAAATTTGTGGAATCATGTTTGTATAGTACCAATACGATGTCCTGTTACCCACTTAAATTTGCAGAATCGGTTACTTTTGCGATCTTACAAACTTTGCAGAACACACTTATGTCTGCGAAATTAGCTTTCAATTTGCGGAATACTGAACAATTGGTTATTTTTGCTCGCTGCGTAATTTGTGATAAATCTCGTGTGACATTGCTTTTATTTAGAGATAATTGTGCGCGAATTTCACGGAAACTCCTGGAATCCACTTACTCCCTAGATCATCTTTAAAAACTCTTCACCAGATTCCAGTGATCTACAGACACCAAAATATGCGCCTATACAATGCACAGTATGGTCCCGTAATGTTGTTTAAAGCACACCTGATACTGATGGGTCGTAAACTGGAACGCCATGTTGGTTGAGAAGTTGCTTCAACATTTCTGTCAGCACAGCATGTTCAAGTCTGCCGCTCAATGCACACACATCATTCCGATTAGAACTATCCCCGGAAATTGAGGCAAAAATCTGCTTGGCAATTCTGGCTAAAAAAACCAGCAGCATCGTTTTGCCTGATCCTTTGCAGCCTCTCACAATTAACCTCAAGTATCCTTTTTCCGTCGGGTTTCGTAGATGATCAACCACTTTCGCAATTATATTCAGCTGTTCTTCTGTCCAAATTATGAAACGTTCTCCTCTTTCGCGCTTGACTTCATCTCCATGATTCTTTTTTAACTCCAGTTTGGCAACACGGTTGCTGTCGGAAGTCGAATAATCACTTTTTGTTTTCTCATTGTCAACGTTTTTATTTGATTCTGTTTGAATTCTCATGGTTTCATCTTTTGAGTATTTACCCAGCAAGCCAGCAGAATTGTTTTCACTTTGCCTTCTTTTCAACCTAGAGGCAATTTCGAGAAGTGGTTTTGCATCAGGGTCAAATCTAGGGTCATTAAACTGGCCTTTGTTCTTGTTGGTAGCCTGCATGTAGTTGGTTACCAATTGATCATGGATTAGAGCAGCAGAAGTTTCGAGAGAGTTCAGAGTTACTAACCGCGCAACTGTTATCTCGAAATAAGTCTTTTCTTCTGTGTTTAAATCTGGAAGTTCTTCTCGAAACCACTTTAAAATTCGAAACCACTCTGATGCAAATGTATCTGGATTTAGTTCACTTCTACTAAAAATGAAATTATGACCTTCTGGATTCCTGATTGAATCAAACTTTTTTTTGTTGTCATCATGCAGCCAGCAAATCACAGAGTGTATCGGAATGGAATGTACCAATTTTGCATGGCCATATTGCATCAAACTTCGAACGAACTGGCCGTGACGCTTAATGTCTTTTTGTATTTTCTCTGGCGACGATCCTTTCCCTCCCTGATTCTTTATATTAAACACAAAGAAGCCTTTGGCCGGATGAGCGACAACAATGTCAATTTCAACGTGCGCACTTTCACTCTTGAAAATTTCTCGTGGATTCACATTCGGGAAAACCATCATACCTTTCTGATCAGGATCTGCAGCTTCTAAAAGCAGTCTGTAAATTTTAATTTCGCCCACCTCTCCTGTCTGCAAAGGTTTTAGATCATTCTGCAGCTTTTTGGACATCTGCGTGTTTTGTAGGAACAGCCTAGGAACTCTAGCTACGGGAACTGACGATACTTTTCCGTTTGTTTCCCAGTTTGGGTACTGGCAGCGAAGCATCTTAAGTAGACTTTCATTATCAGCAAATGGAACAATATGTCTTCCCGGCATATGTAATCTAAAGTTATCAAGTTCTCGATAGAAATCACCAGCTGAATTTTCTGCCATTTTGGACGTCGAGATACGTTTTGTTTTTTCAATGTGAAAGGTATGTTAAGACAACAGAAGTAAATATATAATATGATTAAACAGATAAACCGAGCACGTTATTTGGAGATCTAATTTTTCACAGTTGCTGGGTAAAAACTGGTCTCATGATTATCACATAGCTAAAAACATGGTTTACCGTTTTTTCATCATAATGTCATCGTAACATACTGTAAAGTAGACATGTCATAACTTACGTCAATATTTGAGGAAATCTAGCTAATTTGAGCATTAATTTTTGAACGTGTGCTTTTTGTAGTTATATTTTTGTATTACTTTAGTGTGAAGTTATACAAACGAAGCCATTGCTATTAAATTACGTGGCTGAATCTAGAACAAAACACTCGCTAAAAAGAGGTTGAGATTTATAGCATATAGCATAGCAAATATTAGAGTTTTACGTCATTATTTGAAAAAATCTTACTAATTTTAGCATTACTTTTTGGATGTGTGAATTTTGAAGTTATGTTTTTGTATTACTTAAGTGTGAAATTATACAAACGAAGCCATTGTTTTTAAATTACGTGAGTGAATATAGAACAAAAAACTTTCACACAGGATAGCAAAAACAAACTGTGGGAAATACAGGTTTTCTTCGATATGTAGACATGGATCATATTGCCGACTCGTCATGCAGAAAAAGCACATAACACTGGGAGTAAAATTTAAAAAAAACTAAAAAATCAGTTGCTCTTTATATCCTACAACGTAGTTTCTCCGATCAATATCTATTATCTGGAAATTAAATTTCAATTTGTAAACATAATCAAATAAATTGAATATTTATGGTCTATCTCTAAAGTTTTAGAGAATTTATCTTTCTTTTTCTATGCTGCTGTCGTTTTGTAGACTGATTTTAGAAGTTTTTGATTCAATTGTACTATAATTGAATTGAAATTTTTATTTGTAAAATTTACTGCAGTCTCTGTTTTAAGAAAGCAACGCTCAAGGTTTGCATTGCTCTGACTAATTTGAGCGGAAAAAAAATTAACATGTAACTTTTTTGAATGTATTTGGTTATAACGATTTTTAAGGCTGAAAAGCGGTAATTTTATGATCCATTTCAATCAATGTTTTTTGGATTAAAATACCATAAGGTTACTATCCTTCATACCCTTAGATTCCATTACAGTCGATTATAAACGATTAAAATACCTTTTATTCAATATTGGTGGCAACAACTGATTAGGCATGTGCAAATGTTTTCCAGTAAAATCCAAACTTGAGCGTTGTTTTCTCATAACAGACTTTGATTTATCTTGTCATCTTGTTTTCAATATTTTCAATTATCTTTAGTTAGAAAATTGTCATCTTGTTTCAAATTTTTCTTTGTACAGTTTTCTTATGATTCTGTTCATTTTTTCTTTTTCAAAATTCATGATCAGATTCACTTCATTTTTTTCCATGCAACATAGGACCTCCCATTTAATGCATTGTTTGTTAAATCGAAACTTATTGAAAAAAAAGTTTTTTGAAAAATTGACGGATATATTCTTTCGACAGTCCAAAGGTTAGAAAAGACGTAGTTTGATGAACCAGCTATATGGGCAAAAATGAAGCATTGAGATCATGACTGATGTACAAATTCTCAATGAATTTTTGTTACTGCGCTTACCGCACCTACGGCGAGAGGATGGTAAATTTGGGGCTGGTAAATAGTTTTTATCGAAAATTGTTTTCGAATGCATTGTCAGAGCCTGAATTTTTGTGATCATAAGTTTTGATTCATTTTATATAGCCGTTAGTTTTACAAAGAAGAAAAATTTGTCAAGTTTTTACAGTTCTTATTTAAATTTTTAAAAATAATTTCAACAACTCTGTGCCTGATTTGTTTTTCATTAAAAAATAAACATGGTTTCAGTGAGTCATGTTTTTTGTTATCTTGGCATTCTATGGGGTCAATTTTGCGTTTCTTATTGCAAACATAATTTTTCTGTGATTTTTTCAGCTAACTAATGAAGATAACGCAAAAACCCCTCGTAATTTTTTAAGTTTTTTTTTTCAAAAAAATGTTTAAAATGGTTATAAATTATCATTTATAACGGCTAAAAGCTTTTCCCAAAAATTAATCTAATTTATCAGAAAAGTTTTTGAGCGATCAATTTTGGAGCGATCGTTTTGGAGCGATTGAAAAGACTACAATCAATTTTTTTTGAATTAAAATTTTTTTTCTGATTACAAATGATTCATTGAAATTCAAGATCCTTAGATTTTTCAAGGCGATAGAAATTTTTTTCTTCATGATCTTCATGATCCTTCAAAACAACAATACATCAATTATGGTGACTATTTTTCCAAAAACAAAAGAGTTGCACTGAAATCCTTATTGACGTGGAAGCTAAGTTTGGTATTTCAAACAAATATCAAAGAAATGATGATAAAACTTACATACTACGTCCATTACATATCATACGACAAAAAGATACCTTCAATTCAAAAATTGAGGAAAAAAATTCAAAAAAAGTTTCTTGAATAGCAAAAAAATGTGTTAAAGAAACACAAATTACTTCCTCTGCTTCTAAGGGAAAAAACAGATCAAACAGCAAGCAAACACTGATTTACATTTAATAATGATACGAACATCTGAAACCTGTAATAAAAACACTCCAGCTGTTGCTAAAATTGTACGGCCGTGGTTAAGTCTTCCTCGGTAGCACATTTCGCGTATTTTTTTTTTCAAGAATCGCACTGATTATGGACACAACTCTGTGGTCTGCAAAGTCTGGGAACATAAAATTTTGGTCACAGGATTCTCAGCAAAAACCATAAGCTCGGTAGGAGATTTTCCGAAAAAATTCTTCTTTCTCACTGTTTTTTTTTCATTACGAGGCCAAACTGTGCATTCTCTGCATTGTAAGCGGAATCCGCAACAGGCCAAATTTAGTTTTGTCGCGGAATTTGCAACATTGCTACTTTTCTTTGATCTTCTATGCTGTTTTGGATTCCACAAACAGATACCTAAATCATTGTACAGCTCAAAATCGCTCCAAGAATATGCAAATTTGTGGAATCCCCAACAGTATTTGTGGAATCCAGAACAGTTTGTGGAGTCCACAAATAAATGATAAAACATTTGTATCGTTAAATTGAGCTGTTGCGGAATCCGCAACTGTTGTTGGAATCCGCAAATTGTAAGTGGAATCCGCAAAGTAAAAGTGGAATCCGCATTTTGTTTGCGGATTGCATTTACATATTTGTTTATATGTGGTAACGTTTTAATTTATATCTTTTATTTATTACACGTGTTCACCAACAACGGTTCACCAACAATACATGACGTCTACCAGTCTCGATTCGATCTGACGAACTTCGTCACCAACTTCGATCCCAATTCCTGTAACCCGATTTCGATCACAATTTCTGTAACCCAATTTCGATCCCATTTCCTGTAACCCAATTTCGATCCCGATTCCTTTAACCAAGCTTCGATCCCAATTCCTGTCATCAATCTCAATTCCTGCAAAAGGAACAAGCTGAACAAACTTATGAAGTAAACTCGCTTTTAAATTCATCCGGTGTTTTCAAATATAGTTTGATAAGGCAAAATTTTTGGGAACATATTTTAGTTTTTGGAATTAACCATTTTTTTAGCTATAGTTGTTCAAGTTTTGTTAATCTTTTTATCTGAAACGGATTTGCTCAAATTAGTTTTTCTTAATAGATAATTTACTTTCTATGAGCAAATTACACCAAATAGATAGTTTACTCATTATAAGCATTTTGACGGGCCGGCATATATTTCAAACCATAACACATACTGCATACAGTAAAAAGAATACGGCAAACAACGGTTAGTTTAAAGAGATCAAATAACAACAAACAGTCGTAAGAAAACAGTCATGTCAACAAACAGTATAAATAGTTCAAGTTGTTCAATCCATTTCAAAAAAAATCCTGGGCGGACTCGGCCGTATTATGTCTAAATACTTCTCGGTAGTTATCATCGACGGCATATCTACCACGGTATGCATTTATATGGCATCGGGTTGTGCTTATGAGGAAACCTCTGTGTTCGTTGAACTCGAGAGATTTGATCAGAGTGTCTAGCTCACGTTCGTTTCTTGCTGGCAACAAATCCCATTTTCCCCCAGCATAGAAGCCCAAGATTGATGGCATCCAAAAAGTCCTGAGGTTATATTGCCCAAAAATTTAGCAGCACACTATGTGTAAGATAAACCAATGGCCTTTCTGGTTACTGGTGTAGCTAGAACCAATATGAAAGTTTGCCCATTTTTTTTTCCACATCAAGCCAACGCATCTTTTTTTGCCAAAAATGTCGCAAGCGTTTGGCCAATTGGGTGAGTAATATCACTCAGATCGCAGCTAAAATTGTTCTAAAACGAAGCAGAAGAGAATAAAAGAATAAATCATATTTGTTTTTGGAAAAACAATGAAATATAATGATACAGCCACACACCAAAAAATCTTCATCAGCAAGCTCAGCCAATACAGAAGGCATTCTCAGAGTGACATCCGCCTTTTCGAGGGAACTCATTCCAGCAAATGCTCGTTTCTTCGAATAATGGAATTTCAAATAATCAACACGAAATTTTTCTTCGGGGCGCAAGATAGTCAAACCTAGCTAAAAACACAAAATAGAATACGGTGTATAAATAAAAATTGGTAAATTTACCTAGCTAAAATCTCAAAAAAGAATACGGTATACAAATAGAATACGGTAAATTAAATACCGAAAAAAAATAAGAATCAGTTGCATTCGGAAACACAATTTTCAGGATATCAGATGAAATCGAGGATCATACAGAATATAAGGACAGTTGGATGTGATTAATTAGTAGATTAGTTACACATTTGATTAGATACTAGATAATTTCAACTGTATTACACCGTTGATGCATGGAGCCAACTTCAAGAGACTGTCTTTTTCTGGCAACTCAAAATAATCAAGGCGACTCAAAATATGTTCCTTTTAATTTATATGATTCATTTATTACAGATGTTCACCAACAACGTTTCACCAACAATACATGACGTCTACCAGTCTCAATTCGATCTGACCAACTTCGTCACCAACTTCGATCCCAATTCCTGTAACCCAATTTCAATCCCAATTCCTGTAATCCAATTTCGAGCCCAATTCCTGTAACCCAAAATCGATCCTGATTTCTGTAACCAAGCTTCGATCCCAATTCCTGCCATCAATCTCAATTCCTGCAAAAGGAACAAACTGAAGAAACTTATGAAGTAAACTCGCATTT